TATTATAATTAAAAGATAACTAATTGCTCACCAAATCTATCAAATAAATATTATAAGTAATTATAATTCACAATTACTAAGTAATTAAATATTAAAAATTATAATATATTATATCTCATTTATTGTTATTAAAAAAATGTGACTAAATAATTAAGAGTTTAAAATTTTAAATTAAAAATTTCAAATTCAAATCTTAAATTAGATGAAAAAAGTTTAAAGAAAAGAGAAAATTATTATTTTTTATATAATCATAATTATTAAATATACTAAAAAAATATCACATTTATCATATAATGAATTATATGACAATTTTTACTTCAAATATTTCACAACATTTTTTTAAAGTAATCAAACACCAAATTTTAAGAATGCAAGGACAAATTTTATGAGCCACCAAGCACAAACCCAAAAGGTTATTTTCTTAGTTACAAATATCTGGTCAAAATATTTCTTGGTACAATTTTTTTACTGGGTAAAATTTACATAAGAAAACCCAACCAAGCCTTATTGTCTATTTCATTTTTTGGGCACATCCTTTATTTTCTTTTTGTGTGTACCTTTCACTTTTTTTTTCTTTTTTTTCCTTGGTACATGTTACTTTCACTTCTTTTTCTTTTTGAACATTTTTGTTATGGAACCTGCTCGAACCGTTGTCCTTGAGGTAAGAGATATGAACCTTACAAACGTAACTAGAATTACTTGACCCGAAAAACCAAGTTCACATGTTACTTTCACTTTGTGCTCGCATGAATTGTGGGTTTGATTGTTGCCTATTTCAACACATGGGGGATCTAATTTACTTTTTCATAAAGTATGAAAAGAGGATTTCTCTAGTGACTTTTTCTTTTTATAGAGTTGATTTCCGTACAAATGGTTAGAAGAATGTTGATTTAAAATTATAATTTGTGTTTTTAGATAATTTGTAAAAAAAAGAAATATTTTTTTTTGTAAAATGAGTTATTAATTAGTTTTGAATAGTTTTAAAATAATATTATAGTGAATTAAAATTAATATATTTCGAATAAATTAAATAAATTAAATAAATTAAATTTATAAATAAAAAATACATCTAAATGAAACTAAATGTATTTATTGCCATATTAAACTACCATCATAATTAGCTACACCCTAATTAATTATAATTAGATAATGTTTGATTTGTTAACTTTTTAGATAAGTAACTCGCTCCATATTTCAATGTGGTCCCTTCATTTAATTTAATTTTAGTGGTTTTTAAAAGATTTAAAAAAATTTTCAAACATAAATTTTAAATAAAAATTTAATAATTTATATAAATTATAATTAAAC